ATTCCAGAAACAGATAAGCAGAACGCACGAGGTAGGATTTAAGCATGAACAAGCCGATGAAAATCAGGTTGCTTGCAATTAAAAGTGATGCTGATGATGTCTTCCAGAGCGTAGAAATCTAGTTGAAGATGGTGGTGGGAGGAAAGAGTATCAGAGAACTTGGCGTTCCACAGGAGCCTGGCGGACAAATAGCATGAAGGTGCAGGTAGACGCAGCATAATGCAACGCAACGTATTGATAATGAATAATAAGGTGTTGGTAGGTATTGGTATGGGAATAATCCTCCGCAGCAACGGAAGAAAGCGCGCCGAAGATATGGCAAGGGTATGATAGACCAGGCCTTCCAGAGATGGCGTGTATTGTTGACTTTCCAAAAAGGGGATATTTTTAACACCGAGTGGATCAAGGTTGTTATGGGCCAAATATCCTCCCAACACAACATTGTCCCGGAATACGTGCATTTTTCTTTTCTTTCCTTTTTTTTTCCCTGTGGACGGCTTCAACCTGCTGTATAAATGTCTGCTGATGCTCCTTTGTTAAAGATACGGCCGCCTTATGAAATAGCCTGCTCTCTCCCTCTCTCGTGACCGGCACGTGAGATGGGTCTTCCATCGATCGATCAAGAAAAAAATCTTCACTCTCCCATGACGAATTATTAGAGTTAGATCCCGTAGCCCTTCAATTCTCCCATTCACCATGGCTGTTGTGATCTGTTCTGCACTGGAATAACCCCAGTCTTTCACGCAAGAGATGGTAGGAATTATTTGTTCAGCCCTCCTCGGTTGAGAGCATTCAACATGTCGCTATCAGTGGAAGTGCGAGTGCGTTGACCTTCGGGAGGTCCCAGCATATCACGCACGCTAAGCCCACTCCGTCCTGGGATAGCGGGTTGTCCCGGTGGTGGGGTCGGGCCCCCTTCCCTGGCTGGAGGAATTGAGGATGCGTTATGCAGGGGTTGAAGTGTTGGCAAATGCGCATTGGTGGTCGGGGTATGCGCACCTGCACGTGGAGGGGTGCCCTGGGCAGGGTCATACGAGTAAGACGAATGGGACGATAGACGTCTGTCCTGTTGGCTTGTAGCATAATAAGGCCCGGGAGCGGAAGCGGGATGTGCGTAGCTCGGACCGGCAGTGGCCACGGAAACTGGAGGCAAAGTTGGCGGCTCGCCGTACTCGGGTCCACCTATGGAGTTGCGGCGGGGAAGAGGCGCGCGCTGCGATATAGAAGAGTATGAGGAGCCAGAATTTGAAGAGGAGTGGGATGGCTGACGAATGGAGGAGTGGGAGGGAAAATCATCGTCGGTGAAGGGGCGTTTGCGACTCACCGGATCTTGAATTATTGGTGGTGGATGAGCCATGTGTGGAGGGAGATTGGCTCGGTCATCAGGCCTTCCGTATGGTGGTGCATACATGCCTTGTGGTGGTGGCAATGTTTGCTCTGGGGCTGGGTGGGCAATTGGTTGATGTGGCAGAGGCTGTCCATGGGGACCATACAGGACTACGCCTTCGCCGGGCCGCCCTCTACCAGCTGGATGGTTTCGAAGATGGGGGTAAGCAGTATGTGCAGGCACAAATGCTTGTGCCTGCGAAGAAACAGGAGTGAACATGCATTCTTGATTGAACCGAACACAGTTACTGCATCGACCATCCTGAGAGGTATCAAAGCCAGAGCATCGAATCTGGATAGACTCATGTTAACTTCTGGAGGTATGCATAAAATAGGAAGAACGCTGCTAACCTTGCGTCGGCGGCAGTATCGACAAGCTATGGCTGTTCTCTGTCTGGGAGCTGCTGCCTGGTAAACAACTGGCGGTGGGCCAGGTGGAGGTGCGCCGTACATGTCTGGTGGACGTTGATACGGAGCTGCATGTGGATGTGGGTGAGGTAGTCGATAAGGGTCCTGCTGCGGATGTTGTTGCGGGATCGCAGTCATTCCGCCGGCTGCTGGAGGGTATTGATACGGTGACTGAGAATTGGAAGGCTTGAGTCAGGTATAGATTAGCAAAGGCGCCAGCTTATCACAAATGGAAAAAGAGCAGCAACAAAAAACATGGGCAATCACAGCTGAACACGTGAGATGAGCAAATCAACAGAAGTGGACAAAGAGAACGGAAGGAAAGAGCAACTAAAACATAAAGAAGAAAAAATACATATAGAAACACAGACAGGATCAGCAGCGGCAGGAAGGAGCTACGCTATATATATAAAAGCAAGGAGGTTCAAGGGAGACAGACTGGATATTGGGGAGAAGAAGGATAATCAGACTGGGAAGTATTCCAGGGTGGCGGCGGCGGAAGCTGCTGTCCTTGACGGTCGGGGTCGTTTGACATTTGTTTGTTCCGTAGTCTCGATTGGAGAAAGCAGACACAGGCAAGACAAGTGGATCAGACGGGAAGTGCCTTATGCTTATATATCTAATCGGCAATAAGCAAATGGGAAATACAGGCGGCGTATGAGGAGGCCTATAAGCCGTGACGGAATGGACAGGGGTGGGTGCAGGATGCAGGATCCAATGTTGACAAGAAGCAATCGAAACGGCAACGAACTTGCGGGACCACCGGGACCCGGGACAGGGATGTCACTAGGTCGGATATCGTTTCAAGATGCAAAAAGAAAAGAAAAAAAGATCCCTTCCAGTGTCTCTTTTTTCTTTCAATTTTGTAAACTTGCGGTAAAATTTGTATCTGATCTGAAAATATCTCAGGCCCAAGTGCCACGACACCGACAAGGAGGACTGCAGTTGCTGATTCGTGGGCCTATCATAGCCCTATAGGCAAGAAAAGAGGGTGTGTGTGCTTTATGGTGTATGTCGGATCTTGAGAAGTCAGAAACAGAACTGGCGATAAACAAGGTACGAAGGAAGGAA